CCCGGTCCCCCGGCCGCAGCTATGGGTGTGCCTCATGGAGGCGGGTCGGAGCCAGTGGCGGATTAGCCACTGGGCCAATGGGCCGTTCCCAGAGGCCCTGGCAAAATGGGCACCCCCGCACCGGGGGAGCAGGGTTGGGGCGCTCCTGCTAGGGAGTGGGACAAGCCCTCACACCCTGACCCTGCTCCCTGGCAGGAGTGCTGGGTGGGCGGAGCAGGGCAAGTCCCTGCGCCCAGCCCCATTTCCCGACAGCACGGGGGAAACTGCAGGCGGAAGGGTAGGGATGGGGCCTCCACTTATCCTGGCCCAGGGCCCCACAAAATTGTAATCCGCCTCTGGCATCATGGGGGGAGGTGGCCCTGTGTCATTGCCACACACCCAGTTTTCCTGTCCTAGCTACATCACTGATACCAAGGTGGGAAAAATTCAGTGGCGGGGCCAATGGACAGGGGACAGCGTCAGAATTCACAGTGCTGGGGCACTCCAGACACTCCAGCCCCCAAATGACTTGGACCCTCTAGCTGGGCAAGTTTTGAGCAGATGGCAGAGATGACGTTAACTGAAGGTGGCAGTAAGAAGAATAGATTTCCCGGCTTGTGCACTACTAACAAGTCCCCTAATGGGAGAGCCAGGAGGCTACTGGGCGAGTGGTCTGCTGTTTCCTTCTTAGCCGGAACGAAGATGCTGGTAACCATCTGTGTCTGGGAAATGGGAGTGGGTGTGGTAGAGATACAGCAGTTTTCATCCTGTGTCTAACCCTGACGTCTCCAGCTCCCTGGGCTAGTGCCAGGCCTCGCAGCTAAAGGGAGCTGTTCGCTGACAGAAGCCCAGGAAACTGGAGCCTCTGGGCCTGAGTTTGATCTCACTTACACTGGTGTGCAGCAGGAGTAACGGCCAAAGCCAAAGGGGTGATACCGATGCAGAGTGCAGATGTGGACAGAACAGAGGCCTCTGCTATGACGAACTCACTCTCTGTTCAAGGGAGAAACCATTACACGGAAGGCAAAAGTTAGGGGCACAAACATTGGGCTACGTGCGTATGATGGGAAACACCAGGGGGTGTAAAGGCTGTGCTCTGGTTTGCAACCGTGCCTGGCGACCTCACGTGTACCTATCCTGTGTGTGTGTGTGTGTGTGAGAGTGTGTGTGTGTGAGAGTGTGTGTGTGTCCGTCCGGGAACATTTCTAGTTGAGCGATGCCTTGAATGGGGCTGTTTTAAGGCTTTAGCGGTGGGGTCAGGGTCAGGAGCAGGGTGGCCAGAGAAAGGGCTTCTGGGTGGAGAGTTCAGCTGATGCTCTTGCTTGGAAGGAGTCCTGCCTTCTCGGATGCTGCAAACCCTCCCCAATTCACCCTGTAAGCTCCCTACGGGACCCAGCAGGGTCAAGAACTGGCAGAGAGAGGATGGAGGGCCAGGTGGAGAGGGCATCAGGAGAGTGAGATGAGGAGCAAGGGGGCAGGGAGGATGGGAGTCCATGCTGGGAGAGGGGGATGGATCCAGCAGCAGTGGGGAAAGGGATTGAATAGTAAAAAGCATCTCTATGCCTTGGGCCACTTGGGGCCAGCAGGCACGATCAGCAGTTGCAGGAGGTTCCAGGTGATTTCGGGGAGGTGGGGAGAGCAGGACGGGGAGCAGTAGCACACATACGGCACCAGCTGCTTTCAGCACGTCGAGGCGAGGCCATCCAGACTCCCTCTGAGTGCTGGGCATATCCCATATCCACTGCAGGAGGGGTGCCTGCAGTGGGTCCCGATCAGAATTAGCATGCGCTAGGATTCAGTGCGAGGTCACGTTATGGCTAGTTGTCAGGTTTGGATTTGTTGCAGCGGAGCTGACGAGGATGCTGCCATCCTGACGGTGTCACTGAGATTTTGGCTGCATTCGAGGCTATCATGGGAAACAGCCCCCTGCCCACTTTTTAGATCTACCCTGGAACCAGAACTGGGAAGGGTGGGTATGGATGTGGGGGC